CGCAGGCCTGCGGCGCTCTTTGCAGCGAGCCAGGCTTGGAGCAGGACACGGGGGAGGCAAGGGAAGCCCCTGCTATGCGCCTCTGAAGGGATCTGGACCAGCTAAAGGCACTCTGAACTTGGCCCAGGGCTTTCCCAGTCACGCTTTGCCCACTGAAAAGGATGGAGCAGGGGGGAGGGAAACTGGAGCTGTGCATCCCTGTGTGGTGTGAGCAAGGGGCAGGAACAGCCCCGCTCCACCTCTAAAGTCTGACACGGGGTATCCAGCCCCTGGAAGGAGGAGATGGGACGCAGGCGGGTTTCCTCTCACAAAGGGCTGTAAATAACAAACCCTGAGCTGTGGCTTCACCCCTGCTGTGTTTAAATACCCTGTCCTCATCTGACATTTTCTCTCCACCAGCCAAATTTGGCTGATGTCTCATTTAAGTGGTTTATATAACGAGTGCCTCTTTGCACCGCAGTCCTTGCTCTCCTGTCGGGAACGTTTGTGAGAGTCAATTTGATAGAAAAGCTGAAATGAACTCTGGTAAAGAGTAGAGTTGGGAATCTGAAAGTAAAACTTGAACATCAATATTCCTTCCAAGTGCACAGGCCAGCAGTACAAGTAAAAGGTGTCACAATGCAAAGCCACAATTAAGAGACACCCCTAAGGTACCAGAGAATCCCTTTAGAGCTCCCTGATACACATGGTAACATGTCCTGTGGAGCTCCAACTCCATTTCTGACAAAAATGAGAATCAGCTCCACTGCAGGAGCTCAAATATTTTGGGACAGAAGAGCTGACAGACAGACACACAGAAGCAGAGCCCTTCCCATGGCAAAGGAGCCGAGAGCACACATGGCTGCTGCATTTTCCCGCAGTCTGTTCCTCAGAACTCACACAATTTCAGTTTGGTTTGGCTGAGATTTTACTGGGGAAGAAGCTGCAAGGTGCACTTCATGCTTCATAAATGCCATTTCCCAGCAAAGAGTGGATTTTAAGATAGAAGCCAGGCATTAGGCAGACCTTGGTCTGCATCAAACACACTGGAGTGTAGGGGTAAATAACTGTGCAGTTACTGAGCAATGTAATTAAACAGTATAAACAGGAAGGACAAAGTACGAATGATGGAGATAATTAAACTGTGTTAAAGCTTCAAGGTGAATCACTTGTACTTTAGGGTCTTGACCTGAAGTTGTTCTGAGAGTGAGCATGTCTTTGGCCCCTGGACAGTGGAAGTAATCAGAGCCGCTTTTCAGAGGTGGCTAGCTGCTTTTGAGCTGATGACATGTTGAAACCCAAAGGTTCTACATCATGTGCCTAGAGGGAAAGAAGAACGTGAACCTCCACTATGCCAAAGTGGTTGCAAAATGTGTTGGGAAAGATGAACAGAGAGTGTTCTTTAAGCCAAGGGAGTCAGGGCTCTGCCTACACTTCTTCTGTCCTCTATTTCTCCAGTGCTGGAGCAGATCCGAGAGTAAAAAGGGAGGGCGTAAGCGCTAGCAGAAAACTCTGCTGGTAAATAATGATGTGTACACTCCACTCAGACTAGCGATGGGCAATGGGCCGGCGGCAGCATCAACAGCATTTTCACACCTCTGGTCCTGCGAGTGTATGTACTCTCTTAGTATGATGGTGGGAGGAAAATGCTTATGTAGACATTACCCACTTTTAACTGTGTCACGAGTCTCCTCCAGTGTTTGTTCTAAAGGATATAAATGTACCGGTGCTACCAACCGGAGCGGTTACATCTTCAGCTCCAGCAGCAGCAGCTAATGCTTTTAGTGCTGCAAGTCCCGGATTCATCCCTGCGGGATGGAAGCTGTTACATAAACAAGGCATGTACAGTATTGAAACTTGCCCTGATTCAAGATCCGGGATTTGCTGTAATCAGCCCTGACTGCAGCAAGAAAAGCACAGCCAGACTGAAGAGCCAGCAGCAGCTTCAAAGCCCAGGCCTGCAGACCACGAGGGCCAGGGAGCAACACCTGGCAATTAGTTTTCTTAGAGGTGTACAGTATCTGCTCTCCCACACCCCAAAACAAACATCAGCAACAAATTTAAAGCGATGCTTGAAAAAAACTGACTTGAGCCATTGGATCCAGTAGTAGACCGTCGCCAAGCTGACCAGGAAAACCAAGGCTTAGTCTGTGGGAGTGATGGTCTTTATTTATCCAACTCTCTTACCACATCTTTCCCCATAGGATCTGAGGACATGCTTCTGCCTCCTGGGGAATACGGAGCATATACTGCTCAGCCGACTTAGCTGAACTGAATCTTGGACAGAAACAAAGAGATGTCCCTTCAGGAGATCTTCTGAGCTTGAGGAGCATTGCAGCGCTAGTTTGGGTTCACAGCACAGTAATTAAGACCAGAATCTCAGCCACACAAAACCCTGTTAGACATACGATTGCAAAGCAGAGAGTTACTTGTGCACCAAAGGGATCCAAATGCCTGGCAAGCTCAGAGATGCCGGCTGCACAAGTCGGGTAGAGGGAGCAATGGGGTGGTGCAGTCACTGTTTTACTCCTAGCAAAAAAAAAAAATTGCAATGAGGCACTAGGACGAAACAGCTTATCTCTTTGCCCTGAAGGAAAAGCTAGGCCCCAAAGAAGTAGCAAGATGTGATTGGATTGATGTCCATGGAGATAGGTGGAATACCAGGAGGTGCCGTGGGCTAGCAGGAGTGGAGAGCTGCCACATCAGGCTTGCCCCTGGCCCAGCACCTCCTTCCTGACCCATGGGCTCTGCGAGGCTGGCTGGGGAGCACAGCATACTTCGGTGAGAGTGAATTGGTGCTTGAGGGCACATCTTCCTCTGGCACAAATCTGGGCACCCCTGTGCAGAGCTGTTCTCCCCCGTCTCCCAGATCTCCTTTCCTGTGTACCTCATATGCAGAGGATGGCTTCTTCTTGCCCTTCCCCACTGGGATACTTGGTCCCGGCTGCTGAGGCTTGCATTTTCGGCATGAGTTTCCTAGGTTCAGCCCCTCCTGATAAGCACGCTGACAATTGTTATGCTGGCTGGTGCTTATTCACTCTCTCGCTGATCAGAGCTCTCAGCCATGAAGTGCAGAACTCAGAAATTAATTGGACGGCTCAAGGAAAAGTCCCATGACCTCAAATTTAGCCTGCAGCACTGCAAACCACAAGAAGTCCAGAAATAGAGAGGTCTGGAGAGACTACATCCATCAGCTTGTTCCCAATTCTCTATCCCTGTGCAGTCCCTGATCTTTTATTGTCCATCATTCCCAGGTCTCTCTCCCACACACAGCCTATTAGTTCAGGACTTTGAGTTCTCAGAGCAGACTGAAAGATTTCCCGTTGCACTGCAGCTACTGCAAGTCACTCTTCTGGAAAGCAGTAATTTTGCCTCAGCTGGGCCATATTTCTCTTCCCTAGGAGCCGCCAACCCGTGCGGGCAACTTGGCAGATTGAAACAAGCCTCAGAGGTCTAGCGCTGCTGAAATACCTGTGTTCTGCCTACAGCTGGAGAGTGGAAGAGACATCGCTACTCATTTTCCGTTGCATCTTGTATCCACCTATCACAGTTTAAGAGGAAGAGGGAAGTATTTGTTGCAAAAGCATTAACAAGAGGATCACTGAGAATAGCAAACCTTAGTCCATCATCCTTAGGCGCCAGCGTTAACGTCCTGTTGAGAAGATGGAGAGGGGGGCAGGAGCCAATGTGGTACTTGTAGAAGGGCTGTCAGAAACTGCTGTGACTTGGTCAGCCATTCCCCTCTTAAATCTCACTAGCATACAAACTATTTCCAGACATCAGTGGGCTGCATTTGTCATATGAAAACCACAGTCCAATTTCCTGCAAAGACGTTAATAATCAGCAATAATGTTATTGCATAATAGGTCATTACTCGTTACAGCAAGAAATGGGTATGGTTACCTTTAATTTAAAAGAAGTTGTGGTATCTAATGGATTTGGTCCTGGTTCCATTGAAGAACAAAAAGAGTCACAAGTATTCCCTGTACATATTTAGTGCTGCTAGCACTCCAAGTCTTCCTAAAAATCCCACTGCTGTGCATGGAGTCTGGGGAGGCAGGTGACTGCTGCCCTCCACACTGCCTGCAGCAATACCTGGTTAGACACGTGTCCTGGTTTCAGCTGGGATGGAGTTAATTTTCTTCCTAGTAGCTGGCATAGTGCTGTGGTTTGGATTTGGGATGAGAATAACATTGATCACTCACTGATGTTTTAGTTATCGCTAAGTAGTGCTTACACCAGTCAAGGATTTTCCAGCTTCCCCTGCTCTGCCAGGGGCACAAGAAGCTGGGAGGGGACAAGGCCTGGACAGCTGCCCCAGACTGGTCCAAGGGCTATTCCTTACCATATGACATCATGCTCAGTATATAAACTGGGGGGCAGCGATCGCTGCTCGGGGACAGGCTGGACATCAGTCAGCAGGTGGTAAGCAATTGTGTTGTGCATCACTTGTTTTGTATATTCTCTTATCATCATCGTCATCATCATTATTATTATTATTGATTATTATTTTCTCTTCCTCTGCTGTTTTATTAAACTGTCTTTATCTTAACCCACAGGTTTTACTATTTTTCCTGACTCTCTCCCCCATCCCACTGGGGCGGGGGGGAGGGAGCAAGTGGCTGTGCAGTGCTGAGTTGCCAGCTACGGTTAAACCATGACAACACGCCCCTCTGTGCTGTGCCAGGCGTCCGTCTGCCTGCTGGACCACAGATACTTGTCCGCAAGACTATGCACACACCACCATATGTGCTTCATGCGTACTTGGCTCCATCCAAACACGCAGCATGGAGCTAATAACCTCCCCATATGGACCTGGTACCAAAACCCTCTCCCCCATCCCAATAGCAGCTGCACAGAAAGGGGTTAGGCGAGGTTCCAGTGCCATGAGCCAACTGTTTCCTGGAATTTGGCACTTTCCCATGCGGCTGCTCTGATTTTCAGGGCATGGGGGGCACAGGACCTTGTGGGATGCTCATGACTTAAACACCACCACAGGGACACCTTGCTTTGCAGCACGGACCCTCTCCAAGCTCCCACCTTTTCATGACTGCAGTCTCATTGTGCTTCCAGCTCTGCAAAAGACTCATTCAGACATTCAAGTCCATGTGCTTTATCCTGCTTCAGTGCTGAACAATATGTGTTGCAGATCAGAAACTAGGGAGAATGGAGGCCAGCTCACACAGCGCAGCAGGGAGTGGTGATTTCCCCACCCTCTGGGAAAATACAGAAGAGGGATGTGATGCCTTTGGACCTAGAGGAAAGATGAATCTTTCCCTTTCCTCCTGACTTGTTTTAGGCAGATGGAGTTTATTAATATCTTAATACACCTGTGCGTTCAGCTTTCCTGGAAACCAACTGTAATTGCTTGATGTTTGTGCAAAACTAGTAGCAGTGTGGAGGTTCACAGTGATTGTGTCTCAGAGGATAAGGCTCGTAGGCTGAGCCAGGCAGAGATACTGCTCCAGAATACAGCACTACAACCCATCACCTTCCCTTCAGTTCATGTGGGAGGATGGACCTTCCTAGCCAAGCTGACAGTGTTTTAATCTTGTTCAAAAGCTTCTACAAATAGCCATCCTTTTGCAACAAATACCTTTCAGTGTTATATTTTTTTAGGTTTTGATCTCATCCTGCCCTATTTCTGCAGCATTTATGCTTGTCAGAGTGCAAAAGTAGAAGGTGCAATCCTGTGCTGTATCACACAGATTAAATTTGGTTTGCAATTCATCATTCAGGTCAGGAGGAGAGAGCATGGAAAAAGCACACCATCTCATTTCATATGCGGCTTTCTTTGGGCTTTGGGACAGTGGGATACAAATAACACCCTCCTTAACTCAATTAGCAGCAACTAATTCAAAACTGGTTTTTTTCCTTACAGGGAAAAGCCAGAAGCTCTCAAAGCTGTTGCAACATTTGAAGTGTAATCCAGCGCAGAAAACCAGTTCAAGGCAGTTCATCTCTAGACTGATTGTTCAATCTTTCTTCTATAAACCTGATTATTCAGAGGACAAGATCAATTCAAGGGCAAAGCACTGTCCAGAGACCAGAAGCCGGTGCAGACCTATGCACAGTAGCAAGTTCTGCGGTTCCTAGGGTTTGCACCACACCCAGGGTTAATGAGTAACGGAGAGAAATCTGCAACATGGGTCAAGCTGGAGCCTGCCAGCTTTCACAGGCACCGCAGACTGGAGCCTTGGCTGTACTGTACGGCTGGTTATTTGATGAAGTTAGCGGAAAGGCCAAACAATGCTAAAATGAAAAAAAAACCCACCAGGAGATGTGTCTGCATTAACATTAACAGGCTGGGATGCATCCCAGCCATGCCCCTCTGGCTTTGGGAGTTACCTCCTCTCGGCTGTCTCTCAGCCGTAGTCTGCAGATGTGCGGCAGTGGCTTTGGTTAGTCTGCTGCACTAAGCACGTGAGGAGAAACTCCTCTACCCCCTCCCCAAGAGCAGTCCAGGATTGTCCCCAAGCCAGAGCATAAGGAGAGGACACGGCCACGTCACAGTGGTGCGTCAGAGACAGCGCCGTGCCGGGCACAGGCTGTGGCAGGGGAACTGGTTTAAACCTTACAAAACCGGGAGGTGGTGACCAGGGCATGACGCAGCATGATCTTCCCATCGGCTTCCAGGGACACGGTCACAGCCCATGACAGGGCAGGGCATGCTCTGCCCACTCTTCTTCTGCCTCTGCGAAAACACAGCCGTGCGCTCGCTAAGGTGAAGGTGTCACTGCTTCCAGCTGCGTGGAAACAGCAGAGCCAGGCACGGCAACAAGGTCCCTCAGCTGACCTGTTCTGAGGTGTGGTTTTCTTACCCAGCTGCTTATGGGGCTGTGCAGGGCCTGCTTGATGGGCACCACCAGGACATACCATGGAAAAATGATGCGTGGATGCAGCCGTGAGAGCCACAGGTCAGGGTACAAACTGCTCCCTCCTGCTGCTCTCCCTGCCAGCACCCACAAAACTGCAGCTCCTCTGAGCAGCTCCTGGTGCACAACGCACACATCAGGCATGGACAAGCACCACCTCTTTGATCTTCCAACAGATGATGAGCTTACCAGTAGCTGTGTATTCCTCCTCATTCCCCCAAAGCCTCTCTGTTTCCTACATCCGTTGTGCAATGACCCTGACAGAACCCATCCAAGGTCTTGGTGATGCTACGTAGCAGTGACGTCCAATACCTTCCTCTGCTGCCTTTTCCTCCCCCAGGACACAGTTCAGGGGTGCCATGAGCTCTCTCACCACCTACTCTCATCCTCTGCGGGTTGCTCAGCCGGTCATTACGTACTTCACATCTTCACACGTGCTGCTGGAAAGATGGGATGTTTCCCTGGTGCCTGGCAGCGGGTCCATAAGGAAGGCAACACTGCAGGGACTGCCACTGCCACTGGAGTCAAGGTCTCTATTTCCTCATGTGTTCTCAAGCCCTTGGGCTTTTACTTAGTGCATCCTCTGCCCTCCAGCCTAGCTAGCACATGCTACCAGGGAACCACCAGCCCGCATTTGGCCCCATGCTCCCAAACATCCCTCGAGGTGAATGGGAAGGATAAGCCAGCCTCAGTGAGCACACAGCAGGCAGCCTGCAGTGAGAGGAGCTTTCTGTCCCATTGGAAACACCATGAACAACATGAGTGAAAAGGGCTTCAGAAAAAGGAGAAAAATAATTAAAAATGCTGGGAGCCCCTGGTGGTGCCTGGAATCCCATGTAGCAGAGAAGAGGCCAGCTGGGATGCCAATTTTGGAGCTCGCCAGTGTGATCAGTTAGTTTTAGAAGGAAATGAGGACAGCCAAGGTCAGAGAGCTTTGGGCCTCTGGGACTGCCGCTGTGCAGTTGCAAACTAGGAAAAAGTGGAAGCTGCAAGTCAAACACAGCTCTGTCCTTGCTGTTGTAGCTGGTTCTGGCTTTCCCAGGTCCTAGGGTGGCCAGGTCCCAGGGGCCAGCCCTGCTGCACGCAGCAGTGAGGGGGACAAGGAGCTGTTTTTTGGAGACTTCTGCTTGGGGTTGCAGGGGAAGGCAAGCAGCTCTGTGTCCAGACAGCAAGGGGATGGGAACTCAAGATACCAGTGAGTAATTAGCAGGGCCTGGGGAGACTTGCTCTCCTCTGTTGCTGGTGGAGAAAGCAGCAGAAACAGTTGTCTCCTGATTTTTCCCCCCAGGAAGATGAGGACTGGTTTCCTGGGGGCTCCTGAGGCAACCCCCCCTGTGTGCATCTTGTTTTGCTGAGCTAATTGCTTTTGCTTCCTTGGGAAGCTCTGCCTGAGCACCAGTAGCCGTGCTGCAATGCCACCACAACACCCAAGTGCCCATGTCCTTGGGAGCCCCACACTCCCCTCCGTGCATTGCTACCCTCCCACCCCCCCTGAGGCTCTGTGTGGGACTGGCATAGTTAATGGAAGGTGAGCACATGTGTTGTGGGGGACTCTTGGCCTCCAAGCAATGGACTAGAACCACAGTGCAAGAAGCATGGGTCTCAGTCTGGGTGGCCACGGCACTTGCTCACATCTCCTCTCATTGCCTCAACTGGTTGGACCATGGGGACTGCCGCTGTGGGACGCCAAAAAGTTTGTGACAAAACCTAGGCAAGAGGCTGGATTAACCAAGGCAAAGCTTGCAGTGAAGATGTACCCCAAAAGGAAATACTGATCAGTCTGAAACCTTTAGGCTGTCTGTTAAGGCTGCAGAAATCCCCAAACAGGAAAGCGTATGTCTGGAGCAGATTTGCTTTGCCAAACAAAGCCATGTTATATGCCTGTCCCATGCTCTGCAAATGGGGGGAAGTCCCCCAGCTGTTTCTGAGCCACTAATAGGAAAAGCCCTGTGTGTAA